GTTCTCGACCACAGCCTCAATTTCACCTAGAGTGTAGGGCAATAGAGCGTAGGGAAACCCCCCGTGGTTTCCTCTAGTTTGAATGAAGCCGCAAATGAATAATAGAGAACTTCAACGGCGGAATTATGTTCACAGATATAACTTCTAACAGCATGGAGTTAGATAATATACTGATGTATGCATAAGTGTCCTGAACTGTTCGTGACAGGTCTCAGTCTTAACATCCGCAATATCAACATTGTGAACTGACTGCGATACACAATGCGTGTTTATTCCACCATTTTGACATGCAAATAAGAATCCTTCAATTTCAGATTTAAGGTCAGACAATATAAAGAAAGCAAATGTGTGGATAAAGAGTTGTGCTGGATAATTCCAGTAATTCAATTTTCTGTATTCCAACAAGAAGCCCCGCGCCCCATGTTGTTAATTTTTTTCTCAATATTAAAGGGCTTTGCTTTGCCAGAAACATTGCGAGCTATGTTCTGAATTTCTATGTCTGCACTTTGTGAAATAAATTAGTGGTTTTAATTAGCGTAGAAGTTTGTTCCTCTAATTTGAATGTAAGCATCCAGAACGTCAAAATTAGTGGTAGGAATTTTCAATTAGTGGAAAAAGTTAACAAACTTTCAACTTTTCCACTAATTATGCTTCAAAATTTGCGAGGAATGACATTTTGGCCTTTGATTATCATCTGTCAAGAGAAAAATGTGGTTAGAAATCAAAAGTTTATTGTTTTATGAGCTAAATATTAGGCTTTCTCTATGATGAAACTAACTAAGTACTGCAAGCTGTTGCTAAGATATTCTATTAATATTAATTGTATTTTTTATACATTGTGAATGATCGTAAACTATAATGTATAAAGTGTAATTGAAACCACTAATTTATTCCACTAATTGCGAGGTTCTGAATGAAGCTTAAATGAAACCACTAATTTATTCCACTAATTTCGAGGTTATGAATAAGTATTTAGAAAAATATTTTATCATTAGATTTGATTTGCAGTTTATACCTAAATTTAAACTGTTATTTTACAAACAAATACTGCCTATAAATTTAGTAAATTTAAATTTTAAAACGGAATTTCTATATATTTATTTTATAATCATTTTTCTATGATCAACTAAACTACCTACGCACTAATCCCGATAGAATAATAAATTAACGCACGCACATTCCAAGTGTCACCAACAAAAAACCGTCCCCCTCCAACATCAGTTTTCCGAACAGCCTACGGACTCACGCAAATGGAAATTCCTTTTGATAAGGAATCGGCCTACTTTGACGACCGAAACGTTCGCCTTTTAACTGAAATTCCACGCGACAGGGGTCCTAATTGTGTTTGCACTTCGGGGCCCTTGTCAAAATCTTGTCAAACGAGAAGAGGGGGGTGTGAGAGGGAGGGAATTTGAACAGTAATCAAGGAGTTGCTTGCGCGCCTTTCAAAGGACGCAACCGTCAAGATACACACAAGAAAGTTCTTGTTTAAGTTTAGTCTCGAACTAAGTTTACAGAGCTTTAAAATCATGTTTATATGGCTTTTTGGATTTGTTCAAGACTGTGAAGTGTGTAGAGTTCAAAATTGAATCATTAAGTAAAAAAAAAATACTAAAAATATTGGTCGCTTTCAGAATAGCAATTTAAAAGAAACAGTAGATAAAAGATTTCATGCATTATTTTCCCGCAATAAGAACAAAATATATAATAATAATAAAACTAGAGTGCCAGTTGATTCAAAACAGCGAGAGTGCGTAAGGCTGTACTTCAAAATTGCCAAAAAAACTACAGGCAAATGATGAATACGGAAATAGATTAACTAAGAGCCTAGAGCAGATTTTCTTATGGTGCATCTAATAATTTAATACCTAAGTTACAATTAGATCCTAGAGTTTGCCAAAAAATTAAGGATTGATGCAAATCATTTTAATTTTTTGTTGGAAAAAGTTGCACCCAAAATTAAAAAACAAAAAAAGATTAATATGTAAGGCTATTTCTCTTCGGCTTAAACTAGAACTTACTCTTCTTTTCTTAGTTTTGCATTTCGGATTCTGTAGTGCATACGCACTCATATTCTTCATAAATATTAATAAACTTTAGGCCAGTCAATCTGGAGGTTGAGGTGGAAAAAATTAGTAACCAACCGATCTCAACGGGAACGAGTAGATAATGATCTCCTATTTAACTCCTCAAAAGTCCTATTCGGTCCCAGTGGGGGAAGTTTGAAAAAAATCGCCGCCATCTTGGATTTTTTCGTTTTTCTTCAAATATCTCCGTTTGCATAACTTTTTTCAAAAAAACGAGAATTCAATTTAAAATATTTTAACTTCAATCATTTTTTTTCTAAAATAAATAGTAATAGAGATAGAGCAATTTTTTACTATACGTTTTATAAATTTTCCAGTTTCTTAAACCAATCAGCTATAATTTTTGCGTTAACAGTATAGTGTTAATATAGATAAACCAAGTATACATTTAAGCATTAAAACAATAAAAAATAACGTTGAAATATTATTTATTTATTAAATAAAATTATTTTTAAAATAATTATTATTAAAGTTATTAAATAAAATCTGCATGGCGTCATCCTGAGCGTCATTTTCCACTTCAACTAAAATACAAATGATCAAGTACAACTAAAATACCACTGATCACACTTTGAAGAACATTTAAGACCCAGTTTTCTACAAGAGCAATTTTTAGAGCACTGAGTCTCTTTGTCATTGCAAAAAAATTAGTTTAGTAGGTCAGGAGGCGCCACATCTTCTGTTGATTTAGGTGTCAGATTGCCTTTTGATCTTTCTTCCATCCATATTGTAAAAGATCTTACTTGTTACCAATCCCTTCTTGAATCTAAAAAATACAACTTATAACATTTCCTATAATAGATATATCTTTACAGTTACCTGATATGTCCCGAGTAAATGGAGTTTTGCAGAGTCCTCAGTTGAAGGCAAATTAGCTAAGTTAAAGGAGTATTAAGGGCTTGTCTTGATGTAATCCTATTGTATAGAGTGTATCTGAGATGATTAATGTGTTTAATATACTTTGGGCAGTGATATAGCTTTAAAAGATCATTTAATCCTGACTGAAACAAGTCATCTTTGTTAGCATTTTTTTCTAAAAATACGTCGAGGTATTGATAAAGATCGTCATCTTTTTTCAGTATCGACAGGCAATTTTTTTTCTTGTTCCAGTCAGGATTAAATTATTTTTTAAAGCTATATCACTGCCCAAGCTATATCAAACATACTAACCATCTGAGATATACTCTATACAACAGAATTACATCAAGACAAGCCCTTAAGACTACCATTAATTTAGCTAATTTGCCTCCAACTGAGAACTCTGCAAAACTCCATTTACTCAGGACATACTAGCAGGTAACTGTACAGTATATTATTTATTATAGGAAATGTTATAAGTTGTATTTTTTAGATTCAAGAATGGATTGGTAACAAGTAAGACTCTTTACAATATGGACGGAAGAAAGATCAAAAGGCAATCTAACACCTATTCAATCAACAGAAGATGTGGCGCCTCCTGACCTACTAAAATTATTTTTTTTTGCAATTATTGCAAAGAGAGTCAATGCTCTAAAAATTGCTCTTGTAGAAACTAGGTCTTAAATGTTCTTCAAAGTGTGGCCAGTGTCACGGAATCAGTTGCACAAACCTTTATTACGTATTTTAGTTCAGGACGAAAATGACGCTCAGGATGACGTCATAACAAATTTTATTTAACAACTTTAATTTAATAATAATTTTCTTAACAATAATTTTATTTAATAAATAATATTTAAACCTTATTTTTAATTATTTTAATGCTTAAATTTATACTTGGTTTATCTATATTAACACTATACTGTTAACGCAAAAATTATAGCTGAATGGTTTAAAAAACTGGAAAATTTATAAAACGTCTAGTAAAAAATTGCTCTATCTCTATTACTATTTATTTTAGAAAAAAATAATTGAAGATAAAATATTCTAAATTGAATTCTCTACAAAAAATATATCTTTAGTATTTTCGAAAAAAGTTATGCAAACGGAGATATTTGAAAAAAACGAAAAAATCCAAGATGGCGGCTGTTTTTTTCAAACTTCCCCCACTGGAACCGAATGGGACTTTTGAGGGGTTAAATAGCAGATCATTATCTACACATTCCCGTTGAGATCGGTTGGTTACTAATTTTTTCTACTTTACATATAATACTCGGCTACGTTTACTGGCCTACTTCATAAAATTTTCTTCTTTATAAACTTCAAAGTATTTTTATTCTCTTATTATTTTATTCTCTGTGTATGTATGTATGTATTATGTATGTATATATGTATGTATGTAAAGTATTTATTTTATATATATATATATATATATATATATATATATATATATATATATATATATATATATATATATATATATATATATATATATATAGTATATATATATATTATATATATATATATGTATATATATAACATATATTTATATATATAGCATATATATATATATATATATATATATATATATATATATATATATATATATATATATATGTATGTATGTATGTATTATGTATGTATATATGTATGTATGTAAAGTAAGGACCTCCTATATAGCACCAAAATTTAAGCAGTAGTGAACTGAGACATGCATCAACACATTTGAACAATTGATCTGATTTGTCGAGTTTAGCGGTCATATTATTACATGCATGCGAAATGAATTCAAGTGACTTGATAAGTTGACTTGACACGTGAAAACGACCTTTAGTCCAGACTGACAAAATGTTATTTAATATTATTTATTCAATTAACACAATACCGTATGACTAACAAAAACTGGCGTTCAGTTGTCTTAGAAATGTCAAATCAATGGCATTTTCCATAAAATATTAGATATAAAATGACAGCGATCTTCATTTTCAAGCCACCCCCGATGCCATTTTTATTCGATCACAACGGATAAAAAGTGTCAAAAATTTCTTAAAATCTTACCTTTTTGTCAGAGTCCTAGATCTTGTCACCGACGATTATTTTATTCTCTGAAACAATAAAAATATTTATTAAAATGAGCTAATCTATAAATATCAAATCGTTTAAAGCTACAAATACATTACAATCAGAAAAAAAATCAGAGAAATATTTCTGATATAAAAAAATGTGTGTGCACTATGTGCGCATATTTGAAGTCAAACTTCTTATTAATAGCTATTGAATTGAAGGATTTGAAGGACATGTTTGAAAAGGACTAGTTTAAATAATATCTAATAAAGACAATTTTACATTATTTTTCAACTTTTTTTTCTGAATATAAGTACTGAGAATTTTTTAGTTTTCTAAACTTTATTTTATTGGATACAAAATTCTGAATCTTTGACAACTTAATAAAAACACTATGTGGATGATGTCAAAATTAATATAGTATATTCTATACAACAAATACTCCACCATAAATAATCATTTTTAAATTATAATTAAAAGTTTTATAAATTATAGGATAAATTAAATAAAGAGATTAAGAATTATCTAGCGATTTCGTGCCACGACAAATAATCTCGTCTAAACAATTATAACAAAATTCAAGTTGAAAATAGTAATTTCGCCTTAACTCCCACTAGTGAAGTATTCAGTTTAAACCGTCATTTCTGTGCCATTCTTCGCGAAAACTTGTCTATAAAACGAAGTGCTTAGCCTCAAATTGTCTATTATTTTCCTAGTACGGTTTCCTATTGTCCTTGGAGAGGCGGCGACTGAAAGGACTCTCTAATGGACAAATTAAATGCAAATTTTATCCATTTTCTCCACAGTAAAACTATTAGAAGTCTGCATCGCTAAATTTGATTAAATTTAAGAAGTAATATACAGGGTTTCTAATCGAAAAATGCTAATTGAGTTATGAAGAATTACGTTTATATAAAATTTAAAAATTAGTACTTGTTTACCTTATTTTTTGCTCAACATAGATTTTATATTTATTAATATTTATAAATAATACCGCATGATTGAATAAAAACGGCGTCAAACACGGCTGAGGAATAACAATCGATTTCAAATCGTCATTTACTAAATATTGACATAAAACTTGTCAAAAATTAACACTAATTATAGAAAAATTAAAAAAGGATAATATGACCGGATTCACAAATCTATTTCCAAAAAAAAATATTTTTTCTCGAATTTTAAACTACACCGTTTAAAAATCATTTTTACATATAAAAATAAATAAGTTTTATTAGTTGTTTCTCGGAAATGACTATTCATTACTGAGAATGGCTATTCTCAGTAAAGAATCGAAAATAAGCATTACTACTTCCAAGACATAAGAAAAACAAAAAAAAAACAATTCCTGAAGAAGTATAACATAAAATGCGAAACGTCGTGTAACAAGTTATTTTGTTTTAATTGACCATAGCCACAACACCCAAGAAACAACTAACAAAACTTATTATATTAAGGCTAAAGAATAATTACATCCTATAAAAATAAATTATACAACCTTCTTAAGATCAACTGGCAAGTAAAAGTTAAAAAATAAATAGTAGGGAACATGTAAATGAGGTCTAGGTCCTGAAAATTATAATTGATTGTCATTCCCCAGCCATCTCTGACACCGCTTTCTTTTTGACCATATGGTAATATTCATAATATCATGGTAATACTTATAATATTCAGCTAACCAAGCATAAAAATATCAACAAGTTCAAAAACTAGTAGCGTTGATTGAAGAAATAAGGAGATACGTAATCTTTTGGGCGATTTCGTGGCACAAAATGTACCCGAGATGTAGCAGGCGTTATCGTCAGGTGTCGTAAGGGTGTCCTGACAGATTTAGTTTAGCTCTGCGCCGCGCCGCGCCGTGCCGCTGCGTGCTCATAGTCGTTTACAGCGCAGCGGATAAATAATACTGTGCCGTAATTCTGTTTTCAGTCGACAGAGTAGGTGGTTGCCGGAGACAGTGTTGCCAGAACTACCGATTAATCCGTAGATTTACGGATTTTGGGTACAGTACGTTAATACGGATTTTCTATCATTAATCAATTTAATATTATATGATTAAACAAAGAGCGGCGTGAGACTTGGCTTGGAAATGAAGACGCTGTTATTTCATATGTAAAATATTATGGTAAATGTTAATAATCGTCATTTTCAAGCCAATTAAACGACTATTTTCGATCATACGAAATATTCAGTACTTATAAAAGAATTTCTATTTTTGTTATTTATTCTATGTTTAACACGAATAAATTTTCAATACATAAACGCAGATTTTTCATCCAAAGTTATTTTCGTCTAACGTGTTACATATATTAAACATTTTAATATAGCAACACTGTCGCTTTCAGTTCCACACCGTCTTCGATATGCCTTCGCTGGCCGAATTAGAGAAAATCAGTGTTTTATGCGTTGGCTGCAGAACGAGTGAGGGCTCCATCGTACAGCACTTAAAACGGACGGGCAAATAAAATTAGCTTTCCCATACAGGATCAAACCATCGGCCCAGTCTTGGTACAGGACTGGTTCAGTACTGTGAAGATCTGGGCCAACTATGCATACCAGTCTTGGCCCAGCTTTCGGAATAGCCTGGAATGCTAACATAGTGCCAGGCTTGGTTGTCAAAATTGAGCCAAGCTAGATAACCAAGGCTGGGCCATGATTGATTACGAGTGTTGGGCCAAACTTAATCACCAACACTAGGCCAATTTTGATCCCCAAGGCTAGGCCAAGTTTGATTACCAATTCTGGGCCATATTTGTATACTACTTTTGGCCCGACAGTGGTTATGTGGTGCTATTACTGTGGTGCTATTGTGGTTGTCAAATTAAAACATCGGGCCAGGCTTTGAATCCGACGTTGGGCCATCACTGATCGTCAAGGTTGAGCCTGGCTTTAATGCCAAGACCAAGCCATGTTTGATCGCCGAGAGTTTAATTGTCGAGTTGGATCCAGCAGCAAAAAAACAATTGTTTTTGAACCCAGCGTTTGGAATAAAGTTAACAAACAAATAATTACATTCATATATTTAGATTAGATTTGAGAAAGGCATTTAACAGCCGTACAGCCGTACACCTGCTTTATGTGCAAATTTTCTGTTTAAAGCTTTCAAGCCACAAAATAGGAATCAACTGATTCATATTTTGTGGTCAGTTGGTCAGGCCAAGGAGACCACCCATTCGTTGACCGGTTTCGGAGTTATACTCCATCATCAGGAGGACTTTGGCAGTCTACCTCGAATTGGCAAGCTCCAAACAGAAAATGCACGTCAAGTACGTCACAGTACATGTCTATGGTGAGTTCTTAACGAAGTTGCCATCTAGCGGCCATCGTGCAACTAAAATCATATGATTTAATGACTCTATTGGCGTTAATTCAAATATTATCAATGCTATGAAGCATTTGTTTACAAACAGTAGATAAAAAATATTTTTTTAACAATTTTTTATTTATTGTGAGTAAATTTCTGTTTAATGAATGAGCTTAACTACATAGTGTTCAGTTTCCCAGTGCTGGCCCAAAGTTGGGTGAATTAAGAGGTGGCCAAGACACGATTTCCCAGTATTGGACCAAGCCTAAATGACCAAAATATGATCCAGGCTTAGTTGACCAACTCTGGTTCAAAGCTGAGTCGCCGTAGCATGGCCAGAGCTGAAATCCCCAGTGTTGGACCAAAGTTTGGTGAATTAAGATATGGACAAGTCTCGATTTCCCAGTATTGGGCCAAGTCTAATCACCAAAAAATGGCCCAGTCTTGGTTGACCAACTCTGGTTCAAAGCTAGGTCGCCGTAGGATGGCCAGAGCTGATATTTCCAGTGTTGTACCAAAGTTGGGTGAATTAAGAGATGGGCAAAACTCGATTTCCCAGTGTTAGCCAAGTCTAAATCACCAAAAAATGGTCCAGGCTTGGTTGACCAACTCTGGTTCAAAGCTGGTTCAGTGTTGTGGGGCCAAAGCTGGGTGAATTAAGATATGGACAAGACTCGATTTCCCAGTATTGGGCCAAGTCTAAATCACCAAAAAATGGTCCAGGCTTGGTTAACCAATTCTGGTTCAAAGTTGGGTCGCCGTAGCACGGCCGAAGCTGAGATTCCCAGTGTTAGACCAAAGTTGGGTGAATTAAGAGATGGCTAAGACTTGATTTGCCAGCCGTGGCCCAAGATAGGGTGAGCATAGGATTGGCCAAGCCTAAATTACCCTGCTTAATACCACGTCATGCCATGAATTCATGGCCCCGTTGCCATGAATTCACCCATTAGGTTGCGTATCTTCCCAATTCTTTCAATCAACGCTAAGTCTATGGTTATTCCTACAGTCCCTGTCGATCAAAATCGCAGAATACCTTTTTTATGATCGAATAAACCACAACTCATGTATAAATTGTGTAATTTAGAATATTTAGATTATTATCCACGTTCGATTAATAAATTCATTTCCAATATTTCCTCGAACAGCTATAAAATTCCCGCTACTTTATGGATCTTCTAGCAGCACGCAAAAAAGATTAAATATTCGAAATGAGCATTCCGGCAGCCAGATCCGGCAGGAATGTTCATCGTCTGTTCCTGCGAGCGCCAATTCACATTCTCGTCGTGCGCCAGAGACATTCCCCCGTCTCAAGAGTACCAGGAACTTAATGAAAATTGAAGACGAAAAAGTAAATAGCTCGGCGAAATAACGCTCAGAGAATATGTTAAACAAGATATTTTTCAGTATATTCCATTGCGTTTCGCGTGGCGTTTAGAAAATAAATCGGCAACACTTATTTAAGAATTTTTAAACTAAATTTTGGTTAAAAGATTAATTATTTTATTATTATTATTTATTATTATTTGGTTAATTTAAGATTTGTCAACATTCATGAGACACAGGGCACAGAATAAATTTTAATAACGCTAAAATTAAAATGAAAAAGCGATAGTCTCTCAATTTATGGAAAAATAACTTGGTACAATTGGAACTGGTTTTACTTTTTTGCTTTTTGACAAGGGTGGAAGGTACACAACATGAAATATATTATTTTTGTTATTGCATGTCAAAAATTAGTAA